CATCATATCAAGGTTCTGGTCCATCTTAGCACATATTAGGTAGTAGAACTGAACTAGGCTTGTATCCATCAAACCTATAAGGTACTACTGATTAGTAACACGTGAACCTGATAGAGAGAAGAGATCCTAATTTCTTAACCCCCGGTGGAAGAATAGATTGACTCAGATCAGAATGTCATGAGATAGAGGAGTAAAAAGAGCCTTACGTTCCATCCCACAATCAATTCCCCTACATATAACTAAAGCATTTCTAGACTCAACATCGACCAGTTTAGCTTGGAGAACCTACAGGCAGTCCGGCTCTGATGCCAACGCTGTCAGGACCCCGACTCGATGCCACATCGATCTAGCATGTAACACCTCATATCACTTTGCAGCCTCACGCACGGTATTCCCACGGGTGTCGTCTTACCTTTGCCCGGGACCGTTTGCGCCTTTTGGCACACGTATATGATAGTGTCGCTAGCATCCATATGGTAAAAAGCCCGGGCTGACATGGCTAGTCGTAAACCCAAAGTGGCACAGACTTACAGGGACAGGCATCCATGACCCAGCATTGAACGTGTCAGTCATCAGCAAGTGAATCCGGGCTGTAGCACTGGGCTAGCAGGACTCTGGTAAACCGGGCTGTAGCGGGCTAACAGGATCCGGTATTCATCGCATGACATTTCCCCGAAGGGACAGACACAGGAACGAAGAAGGACACATGCCGGCCAGCCTAAGTGTTCCGGAGCAGTAGCAAGCTACTAAGGCTCAGTGGGAACACTAGGAGACATTTCCCGGTAAAAGAGGCTACTAAGAATAAACAACTAGATAGTCAGATCCCACACATATCAAGCATTTCAATCATACACACAATATGCTCGATATGTGCAAATACAACAAGGCATCACAACATGACTCTACAACACAAGTACTTTATTTAAGGCTCAGAGAGCCATACATAGCATACACACAAGTACGGGTCACACGACCCAGCATTCAAGTCATACAGACATACAAGCCAATAGCGGAAGTAAACTTGTCTGAGTACAGACAACTAGTAAAATAAAAGAGGCTTGGGAAAGCCTGGCTATACTACGTGGGCCTTCACAAGCTCAGGATCACCACCTGGGCCTCGGTCTACTCATCGATGTCAATGTCTACGAAGAACCCATCAGAAGGGGTTGCAGCATCTTCTGGAAAAAATATAAATTAAAGCAACATGAGTACAAAGGTACTCAGCAAGACTTACATCAGATCCTACATACATGCACATTATCAAGAAGGGTTGGTGGGGTTATTGCAGCAAGCCAGCTTTGACTCTTGGCTAAGCTATCCTACGATACACCAACTTGAAATGGTTTTGCGCACACGAGTCCACTACTCACCACTTCAATACACCACCGAGGATCCACCTCCGTCATTCTACGGAAGAGCCATCCTTGGCACTCACGCTTATCTTGAGATTTTTAGTAGTTTCCAGTTTACTTGTCTATGAACTGTATAGGCAACCAAGTAGTCCTTTACCGCGGACGCGGCTATTCGAATAGATAATGTTAACCCTGCAGGGGTGTACTTCTTCATACATGTTTCCACCACTTAGCGTCTGCACACGACATGTGCTCGGCAGACTTCAAGCGAAAGACGACGTGGGTGTAGACCACGACCTACCTAAACACCTAAGTCTCTAGTCCAGGTTTATCGCCTATCCAGGTTCCATCCGCAGGGAGTCCGGCCGAGGTTTCCCATACGGCCCCGAACGATGTGTACAGGGTTCCCGAGATACCTAACGGGTATCCGGTACACCGTGCCACGTACCTACCGCATCACAGCCCACCCCTACGGTCAGCGCTGTCCACGGCCTCTAGTAGGCTACAAACACCAGAAACTACTTGCAACTCCTAGACAGAGGACTAGGGTGAATAAGAAGTCGAGCGGGGTCATATTTCAGGGCCCAATGCATGGTAGTAGCTGTATCTTAAATCACACATACAGATCTCAGTGCTTAAGGTCGGCTTCAATGAAACAACCCACCATGTACTCCTACATGGCCTTTCATCGATACCTTTACCAAACCGTGTTCACCACATCACTCTCATTACCGGCACGATCATTTCACTCTAGCTCATCACCCAGATGAACCAGACCTGACACGACTCTAAGCATAGCAGGCATAGCAAGGTAGGAACAACACATACATATGGCTCAAACAACTCCTACACATGCTAGTGGATTTCATCTAGTTACTGTGGCAATGACAGGTCATGCAGAGGAAAAGGGTTCAACTACCGTAGCACACAGCAGTTTGAAACGCGTTGTCTTAATGCAGTAAAAGAGAGCAGGAGCGAGAACATGGGATTGTATCGATATGATCAAATGGTTGGTTGCTTGCCTGGTGGGTCGATGCATTGATATTGTTCTTCGTTAGGGTAATCGTGGTACTCCTCGGAGGCAGAACCTGCCGCAAAGAGCACCGATACACAACATTACCAAACAATATGCAACAATATGATGCATGCATGAAACATGGCAACATGAGTGTGTTGGGCTAATGCAACTAGAACCAGATGGGTTTGAACCATTTTGAATCAAAGATTCAATTTTCAAACTCATACATGGCCCTTATAAGTGCTTATCTAGTTCTGCTCTAAACATCAGGTTAGCTTGCTTAAACATGCATGAAACCAGTACAGATGGATAGATTGGATTTTTCTGATCATTTTTCATATATAACACTTTGCATTTGGAGTTATGGTTAATTTACTATGATTTTTTGAAGTTTGGGGTATTTTCTGGAATTTATAAATCATTCTGGATTTATTTTAATTCCAGAAAAGGATTACTGCGTCAGCATGATGTCATGCTGACCTCAGCAAGTCAACAGGCCGGTCCAGGTCAAACTGACCAGTGGGTTCCGCATGTCAGTAGTTAATTAAACTAACTTAATTTAGTTTAAACTAATCTGGGTTAATTAGCAGAGGGGGCCCCACTTGTCATAGACTCAGGGAAGTCAAACTGGGCCCACCCTGGTCAAGGTCAAAGTCAAACACGCCGGCGTCTAGCCGCCGGCGAGGCCGAACGCGGCGGCGGAAGTGATTTTGTGCATTCCGGCGACCAAAAGGGCGGCGGAGGGCATCTACGCGTAGCTGAGACCGAGCCGCGGCTACTGGTGGTGGTGGTTGAGCTCGGGGTGGCCGGAGACGTCGCCGGCGGCGACTTTGGCGGTCGCCGGAGTCGGGTGAAGATGGATCCGACGCTACGGGGCACGGCGAGGCCCGTGGTGAAGTGCGTTGGGCCCCTGGGGACACGGTGAGTGTGTTAGACAAGGTGGGGTGGCCGGTGGTTAGCCGGAGACACGTCGGCGACGAGCTCCGTGGCGGCGCGTGCGGTGAACTTCGTGTGCTCGCGGTGGTGCACGAGAGCAAGAAAAGGAAGGGGGAGGAGGTAGCCAAGCTCACGGCGATCTCGAGGGAGCAGGCGACGCGGTCGGGGACGAGCTGGTGCGGCGGCGACGGCGAAGGGGATCTCCGGCGATGGCGGTTCGGTCGAGGTCAGTGCGGTGGCTTCGGGGCACGCGAGCGCTCGGGGCTCGGCTAGCTCAAAGGAGTAGAGGGTGGCGAAGCTCCTAGACACGGTGGCGCAGCGCGAGGTTAACGGAGAGCGCGACTACGGCGAGGGTGCGGCGGCGATGGCGTCGGCCATGGCGTGAGAGAGAGAGGGAGAGGAGCTAGGGCTGAATGAGAGTGTCTAGGGGGTTCGGGGCACGACATGGAGCTCATCCAAGGTCACAGGGGGTGAGAGGGGGAAGCAGGGCGACGGGCAGCTGCGTGGCGCACGCTGCGGCCGCCGTCGAGCACCTGCCTGCCTGCCTGGCCAAGCCAAGCAGCTCGCTGGAGCGGTGGCTGGGCTGGGCCGGCAGGTGGGCCTCTGGGTGGCGCCAGGTAAGTCTTTCCCCTTTTTTTCTGTTTTTGTTTTTATTCTGTAAGTTTGTTGAATTTCTAAAAATACCTAGGCAACTCCAAAATTCACCAAACTGCATGTGGTCCTTAGTTGAAATATTTCCAGCAAGGAACATTTTAGTTTGAGTTTATTTGAGCATTAAAATATTTTTATAAATTTTAAATGCCCAAATTCAAATACTTATGATTTAATTCAAAAACCTTAGGATGACCTAGAAAGTTGTGCATCACTTTTGGCAGAGGTTCTGAACCAAGACAAAAATGATGGACATTTTAGAAGGCCATTTCAAATTCATTGAAAATGTTTTTAGTAAACCCTAGTTAGTTTCAGAGGGGGCTAGGGGTTCTGTCATCCCCATTTCAAATTTCTGTCGAGAAAAATAGACATGATGCAACACTCTAATGCATGAACTAACTAGGGTGTGACAGTCCTATTGGGTGGCATTTTCCAGTCCAGACGATGACCAAGTTGTCCGCCTGGACGTCTAGGAGGGTTTGAGAGTCCGGTTGTAGATGCTCTAACCAAACATACACTTTCCACAAGATTTCAAACTCATCTAAAAGTTGGCTGAAGCATTTCAAATGAAAAAAATGACAGTTTTTCGTCATTGATAGCTGAGATACTACTAGTTACATATAGCTCGCCAGTATACAGCAACGCTTAATACGCATGGAGGAAAACTAGAAACAAAAGCATCAAAGATGGATGGTCACTGCTCCAAGCTCTCAAAACATGAGCAAAGCTGGGCACATGGTTACCAATCCATACTGTGGAAAGCCTAGGAAAACACCAAGCGAGGACCCCAGAACTACTAACAAGCTGCACAGTAGGCAAGGCACTTTGGGGCGATTTCAATGGTAGCACTATGTTCTGGTTATTTCACACACATACGTGCTAGGGAGGGAGCCTTGAAGCACATTCCAGTTATCCCTGCTAAAATGTCGGAAAATTGTATCAGCGCATTGTCACAAAAACCAACAGTGTCCAGCAGGTTTGGTACCATTATGTTCTGGTCATTTTGCACACATGCATGCAGGGGAGCCTTCAGCACATTCCAGTTATCCCTCCTAAAATGTCAGAAAATTGCATCAGCGCATTGTCACAAAACCAACAGGATCTAGCAACATGTCAGCATCAGCATAGTGATCAGACATAGTGTGATCAGACGAATTTGCAGGTATCCTACTTCTGCTTGCTCGTAGACATATTGCAGTTTTGAGATAAACAAGGACTTGCAGATAACTTGTCACAACAGATTTACACATGAGCTAAAGTGCATACTATCTACCCCCTCCGTTCCATAATGTAATGCATATAGAATTTTTGAAAAGTCAAACCTCACAAACCAAAGGAGAAAAACATTTACACCTAGAATGCCAACCATATATCATTAGATCCATCATAAGATACAGTTTCATATTTTATATATTTGGTATTGTAGATATAAATAGCTTTCTCTATAAACTTGGTCAAAGTTTGACTTTTCAAAAAATCTATACGCGCTACATCACGGAAGGGGGAGTATATTCCAGAGAGTTCATTAATTACATCAACAGAACAGAGGCAGAATGCTTCTTTGATGATTCACCACGACTATATTAACATTAATTGTACCTCTGTTTCCACAATTTTAGTTTCAATAGCTGGCCGATAAGTTTCATGTTCAAATCAAGTATCTGTAACTGTAAGTGGATACTTTTCAGATGTGCATCAGTTCATGACTTCGCTGCAGATAAGTATCGTACTATGAAAGTTTTACTGTGGTATAAGATCCATGTTTTTTAAACTGGAAATATCACTATATGTGAGGTTCTAGATATTATTATTTCCTGCAATGGATTATTTATGTTCCCCACCATACTTACAAACCTTTCAAATGCATATAATTTTTCTAAGGGTCCAAATGGATGTCACAGGAATGAGCATGTTACCTCCATATCGATGTCGCTATCCTTCGAGGTTTCACCTGCCAAAATAAAAGAGACCATGATTTTGATTGTCAAGCGTTAAATCGGAGACATGGCTCCAGAATTGTGGTCATGGACTCGTTACTGTCAAAGACTAGACATTGACCATAGAAAGATTAATGTTGGTGAATATTTCTGACACCAGCAAAACGGAGGAATCAACATCAGCATCTCAAGTACAATTCTCTCGATACATTTTTAGTAACTCCGATGATCAAACTTGAACCAACTATTAAGGATCTAGGTAACTTGCAAGTAACTATCAATTTGTCATATACGGCATAATTTCTGGTGCAGAAGGATTTTTTCATGCAACATATTAGGAGCAATGGTTTGGTTAGCTAGAGTGGCAAAACAAAACATGGGAAGTACTGGCTTCTTGAGACGCACTGAACACTGTTGGACAGGATGATAAAACTAACCAAACATGTCACCATGTACCCCTGGCCTCGAGCACGATACACAAGACAACATCGCCGGAGGGGCCATGCCGGGAGCACGATAGGCAAGACATGCCGGTGAGAACTTTTGAGTCTGAAACCCCAAACGCCAGGGAGGGACCCTGTCTGGGAGTGTGGCGGCTATGGGCTGCCCTAGGTCAGTCCAACCGCCCCTAGAGCCTTGAGGATCGTTGCCCTCCAACACGAAGAAAAAGGAAGCAAGAACGTCAGAGAGATGTAAAAAGTAGGGTAAAAAGTAGTAGATGAGTTTGCAATGTGTTGTTATCCAACCGGCTATCACCTCTCATCTATATATGACACGGCTGGATTTCCCACACAAAAAATGGCTCCAGTTCCTGTCCAAAGAGCCAAAATTTGACCTAACTCGGAATCGCCCGTGGGTGTCCACCCCAAATTTGGCCACTGTCCGGCCATCTCTAGGTCTGCGGACAGCATCATGATTTTCCAGCTCCAGAACTCACATATGACCTCGGATGGAGATGGCCCCAAAAGTAAATTTATCCGTTTCGATGAGATGAACTTTCATGTTGAACGTTTTTTTATTCGAGATCATATTGAGGGCGTTTTGACTCTTTTTAACTGCTGAATCTGAAAAGGCATGATGTTTTGGCCGGACATTGCCGGGACTGTCCGGCCACTGCCTGGGTACAGACGGTCAGTCCGGCCTGAATTTCGTCGGACAGTCCGGCCATCTTCAGATCCTGCTGCTGCAGAGCAACAGTGTACTGTTTTGGCTGCCCAAATCTGGTGGCAACACATGCCTCCCTGTTTATTGGCAATGCTAGCGTGCCAAAAAGTAACTTGCACTGTTTTTGTTCTAAGGACGATGTCAACACCCCATCAGCCATTTTTATGTGCTTAGGGTGATAAATCTGTATTAGCCATGTTTATGCTTAGGGCAATAATTATATATCGGCCATTGCCTGTTTAGGTTTCTAAATTTTGCTTACATCATACCCTGGAGCTGATTACCACCAATCGTCTTTAAAGAGATGGGCACATACCCGTTCCTCGTAGCACTAAGGAAGCCAAACTGCGAGAGGTTGCGTCTCATTAAGCACGTAGCATCAAGATGATTCCAATCCACCGATGCATCGGCCAAAGCAACACAAGCCGAATTATCCGCGCGAATGACTTCTGCTTCATCATCGACCCATTGTATTAAGAATTGATGCATGGTACATGTCACGCATTGATTGGCGACCCAATCGCGGCCTAATATAATATTGTAGTTACTTTGCACCTCGCGACAAAGAATGTGGTGTTCAAAGTTTTGCTTCCAGTGGTGAGTTCCATGCACATTACACCTTTGGCCTCTATCATTTCTTTGCCCTCAAAACAATTAAGCACCGCATTGGTCTTCATCAACGCATCATCATGCAATCCCAATTCTTGAAGACCGAATAAGGCATAAGATTAACCAAAGCACCACCATCAACAAGCATCCTAGCAACCAGCAGTCCATTCATATGACCTTTTAGGTACAATGGCATCAAGTGTTTCACCGGTTCTTTTGGCTTCTCAAAGATGGCATTCTTAGGACCAAAATTCAGCTGGGCCACCTCACCTTCATTATAGCATGAAATTCGGCGGCGAAATATTAATATCCATATGCTCCCGAAACGGCATAGATTCATAATCCACCATCTCATCTTCATCTCCCATTGTGTATATTGGCTTTTAAATCTCTTCAAGTGAAGGGGGGGTAATAGGTAGCATGGGCGATGTAATAGGGGTCGCATCCTCCTCCTTTGATGGTGTAGGTGCCGCTGTAATTAATATGGAAGCTGTTGCGTTATCTATTTTTTTAGGCCTCAACACGTCTGCAGATGCCATGGGCCAAATTTTACCGAATGATCCGTCCCTTTGCTTCTCCACTTCGTGCTCCCCCTTCTCGTGGTTCCTCATTCACTGCAATATCCTTTTCATAGGCTTAATTAAGCCGGGAGGGCATCACTTAGGTTGGGTATATTTGGGATCCCCATGTTTGGCCTTGCTTGTGCTAGCTTCATGATCAATAGCCATGGGACCCTGCTGAACAACAACTATATTACCGTTAGAATTAGCCGGATTACCCAATAGCAATCGACTCTTTGATCTCCTTTTGCTTATCAGGTTATGAAAATTCAGCATTTGGCGATTAGCACGCCACACTTGCTTGTTGACCTTGCTTGGAGAAGTTTGTGTTGGCCAATTAGCACCATGGCTTAAACGGCCTCGTGTAGGATAAGAAAGCCTCTCAGGAGCATGCCTCCTAGCTGCTGCCCACCCTGGATGAAAAGCAAAGGAGCCATTGGGGGCTGCCCCCATCCTCCATTGAAGCCTCCCATGTAATATGGCACATAGGGGGTTGGCGCCATCCATGGTACCGGTACCCGTGACCCGTATGGCCTTGTGTGATGCTAATTTCTTTGCTTCGGAGGTGATCTTGAATGCTTACAATGCGATGGTCAGTTAGAGCTAGAACCAGCCGCTTGATTGGCATATTTGGACAGCAACATATCAAAAGTTGGCTTGATCCGCTAGCACTTGGCTTCATTCGTTCTCTACTTGCCAACTTATGAACT